AGTTTCAAATCTTTCTAAATTTTAACGAAAAACAAAACAAACATCAAAATTTCATCCTAAAGGCAGGAGGAAAATCAATTTTCCGTTTCCCAGAAGAAATTTTTGAAAGAACTGAAACCTATTTCCAAATGAATAAAAGAAAAAATAGCAATAATTGTGTGACATCAGTCTTTCCAAATTTATTTAAGCTCCAAATCATGAAGACATTCAATTTTCATCTTAAAATTAATTTTTAAAATATTTGTTTTCTTTTGATCAATAAAAATTTCAATTCCATTCAAATTATTACATTTACTTTTGTGCTAATACCCTTGGAAAAGATATGAATCATCTTCTTTCATCCCCCACATGGGTAAATTTTCAACAGACTGGGTTCTATAGCCTAGGATGGCAACTGGTCTACCACAGAAAGAAATAGAAATGGCAACCTTTTTTTTTTTTGGGGAATCTATCTTTATCAGTCATGTATCAAAAGATACATGATCACCTAAGCAGGTATCACGTATGGCACATAACTGACTGACTTATACTATTTCCATTCAAGTATAGTCAACTTAAAATTTTCAAAACATTTAAAATTTCTATAAAGAATAAAAAGTCCATGATTTTTTTTTTTTTTTTTTTAATAGTTTGTATATTAATTTGGAGACTAATATACTAAAACCTGCTTTAAATACAAAGTATTTTTCTTTTTATTACTATTCACACATTTCCAGTAAGAAATGTGATAGATATATCTAGTCCACAATGTAATATAAACAAAAAAGAGTGCTGTTTCATGCACTGCTAAGCAATGGATTATTCCTATATGAATATCAACTGTGGGGAAAAAAAAAAAAAAAAAAAAAAAGACTGAAGATGAAGTACTGAAACAATAGAAAATATATAGCCTATATATATATATATATATATATATATATATATATATATATAGCCTTTCAAATATTTTCCATCAAAATGCTTCAGTAATATCTGCATTTGTTAAATTGAATTTGAGTAATTTGCTAATAATCATGAAATGATTTCAGAACAAGCAATTAGTAAAAAGAAACTAAAACCAATAGGTATAAAATAATCACAAACATCACAACAGAAAAAAAATATACTCGATACAAAGAATCTGAAACACTTGTAGAACTGCTTTCCCTTTTTTTTTTTTTTTTTTTAAATTAATTGAACTTAAATCTTTTTAGATTTCTGACAAACTAGAGGACTGTACTGAAAATAGGAGAGCAAAAATGAAAGTTCCAAACTCAAGTCAGCATTGCAAACACAAAAAAAAAATAAAAAATTCAACAATTAGCAGGCCATAGAAGAAATAACATTAAAAGGTGTTTCCACTACTCACCAGAATCTCTATAGTTACTGCTCCCGCTACGCCCTCGTCCCCGTCCCCTCCTGAATCCCCGTCCCCGCCCACTCAGAACACTATCTGTAAGATAACCGGCCTGTCGCCGCTCCTCCTCCACAACCTCAGCTGACCAGTCTGAGATGGGGCGTGGAGAAATAGGATCATCACCTTAAAAACAGAAAACAGTTTGTCAAGAAAACAATAAATCACTAAAACTTAAGAAGGAAAAAAAAAAAAAAAAAAATTTTTTTATTTATGATTAAGGAAAAAATCCAATTTGCATAAAATTCTGTTAAAGCTGTGTTTAGATCTCCTGTTATAATAAAATCAATTTCATTAACTTGTAGCAAAACGAGTACAATAAAAGATCTGTGATACATACGATTTATCTCCCTTGTTTTACATGCTATTTCTTAAACGACACGGATCATTTCTAAAAATGTATAGAAAAATTTGCTACTAGTAAATTCATTTCAAATCCCCTCATTTATGTTATATATAGAATCACTTAAGTTCAATTATCTTCTGTATAAAAAAAAAAATTAAACAATTTTACTTGTAATATGATTAACATGGAGGGATAGTGCTAAGAGGTATCAGCCTGATCTACTTTCCAAAATCTGATAATTTTTGGAATCCCTTCTTGCCCAAGGCAAGAAATTTTCAACAAAGCAAAAAAAAAAAAAATATTTGAAAATACATTTTACATTGCTTAGCTAATAATTTTGGTAGTTAATAAATAATTTACATAAGCAATTTCCCCCAATAGTAATGAATATACAATAAAATGGTATGTGTTTACATTAACCTATACTAATGGGCATAAGAACCTAATGACAATAAAAAAATTTTCAACTAAAAATGAAAGTTCTAAAAAAAAAAAAAAAAAAAAACATAAAATTTTAGAAATTCCTTTTCACTATCAAAATGCTACAAATACATTAATCTCACAGAGAAATAAAATCTCTTGTAATATTTAAAAATTTAAGATTGAAAGAACGAAGTGTCAGGTTAATCCACTCTTGAAACATGCAATTAAGGTTCATTTCCAAATACCTGAAAGCTTAAAGCAAGTAAGGTTAGCTTAAAATAAATTAAAAACTTGAAACATTGATGAGTCATTTTTCAATGGGTTTAAATGTTCATACTTGACATTCTCATTTCTCTTACTACAGAACATTAAAAAGATAATCAAATTTATATACAAGATTTTTAATATAATTGTGCATAAGGTAACCTAAATTGTTTGAATTTGTTGAAACCTTAAAAAAATATCTAAAACATTAAGTCACTAAACAGACTAGTTAAAAACTATTTTATTTTCAAATGAACTTTAAGAAAATATTCAAAATTGCCACAAAACTTGAAAATTCTAAGATATACAATTTTTAATTTTAAAGGGAAAAAGAAAACACACACAAGCAAGCATTATATAGGCTAACAGCTCCAAATTTAGGTTTAATAAAATAAATCCTTCAGTTGGCATAAAGGAAATTCTAGATGTCTTTTTACAAGAGGAAAAAGTGCACAGTCAAGAATGGTAACAGTCACTGGATATTAGATTTTACAGAGACTTTCAGGAACAAATTAGATTTTAAAAAATATTAAGTGAAAATATAATCATTGTATACACTGAGAATTTTAAGAGCAATAATCGAACCAGCTAAGGGAAATAATTGGAGATCAAATTACTTCCCTTTTAAAAATAACGTACATTAAATAAGGAAATATATAAAAAAAAAAAAAAAATTTTTTTTTTTTACACGAGTTTCTCCTGTTTTTTCATAGAGGTTTATCAATTTTTTTTCATGTCAATTGTAATTGATGGCTAATCATCATCAATTACAGAACGTACAAAATCTTTTCCTTCAATTTGTTTCTACTTACCAAAATTTCCTATTTTTATATCCAGAGTAACAATGCTGACCTTAATTCGCATATAATCATACCATTTATTTATATCCAATTTTGAAAGTTACTGGCTTTGTGTGTGTGTGTGTGTGTATATATATATATATATATATATATATATATATATATATATAAAAAAAAAAAACAAGAACTAGCAGAGATATCATTAACATCCCAATAATTATAAAAGAAATGATGGATATCTCAAAATGTTGAAACAAAAATGAAACCTTCATGCCAACTGAATTCACAAAGTCAAAAAGTACTCTTTCCCAAAACTTTATAGGCAGTTATTAACAGGTTTTATAATGGGGAGAATGTTGAAAAATTCCCAGCCCAATTCACTTCCCAAAACTAATTTTTCATTGACTAAAGATTATTGGGAAGGGATTCAGGCCAAGAACTTCCTAGTACCCCCTTAAAACCTGTTACATTTTTCTTTTTCAAATGCTAATATTTACGTTCACATAAGTCCTAAACAGTGTGATTAAAATTTAAGAGGCAGATTTCATTTAGGATTAAAACTAAGTCAATATAAAAATTGTAAACACCAAGGATTTTTTTTCATAAGGCATAACCAAATAGGAGTATTTAAATAAATTAACTAAACTAATTTAGCACATAAGTTATTTTCTTTCTGGAAGATACTGGTTCAATTCATTTCAAGTCAATTGAAAAATAAATCTTATTTCAAAATAATTTTGCATATATTAAGACTAACCATTTATAAATTATCAAAGCAATGATTTGGAGTCAACATTAAAATACCTAAAATATTTGTAGGGTATTAAGCATTCTAATAAAATTAGAATTATGTATTTAATAAAAATATTAAATAATTGCAATAGTGTTGACATTTATCAAATTATAGGTTATATAAATTCAAAGGGTATTGGATTATGTTACAAAGAATATTAAAATTTTATTAAAAAAAAGTAAAATAAAATAAAAAAATCTTACATTCATAAAGTGTTTTTTTTTTTTTTTTATAAGACCAGAATCTAAAGTAGTATGATTACGAAACAATAACAAGTATATATAATGGTTTAAGATAAATATTTAAATTACTCTGAAATTTATTTTTTAGATAACTATCCAATCTCTTAACAGTAACTATCAAAGCAGTAATAAAAGGTATTATCAAAGTTGAAGAGAAATTGTTAATTCTGATTTGGTCATATATCCTTTTCCCAACTCAAGACATTTTCTTCAAAATTAATGTACTATAAGCGAAGCGAATGTTTGCACAAAATAAGATTTGTAAAATTTCAACTTTTACTAAAATAAAATCTTTAAATTTTTCTATTCTTAATTCAAAATATAAACTAAACTTAAAATTTTTTTAAATTTTCAAATACAGGAAAGCAAAATAAAGTTTACTATGTTTTTCTTTGTCAAGACCCTATCTTGTACAAAAAAGCGCCTCACTGATATCAAATATGAATTTTAAAAAATGCATAATAAGTGAACAGTTTGCAAGTGTAGTTGCCAGAAATATGTACAGGTTTATTGGACTGAACAGTAACAATTTACAATGAATGGCACCAAGGTAAGCAAGGTGAGAAGTAGGAATAGGAGGAATAAGAAGAGAAGTAGGAGGATGCTGTTAACATATCTGCTGCATGTGAAGGTTTCAAAAACCAAGCAAGCCCAGCATGCCAAATGTTCTCTAACAAGTCAATGTCAGTAAGTGAATCCACACAATGCAAGAAGATGACACTTTGTTACATCATGCTACCGCTTCGAAAGCACTGGAAAACAGAAAAGAAAAGTTTCCAAATGAGCAAATTCATAAATCTTATGTCTTAATTTAAATCTAGATTTTAGTTTAACAAAAATACTGTTTCAGAAATATTAAGTTAATTGTATATTTCTAATACTGTTAAATTTTCAGAATTTTTTAAAATTAGTAAGCAACATAATTGCTCTAAACCATTGCTGAGAAATAGGAAAAACTTAACTAGATCTATTTAAATATAAATTCAAACTACCAACTTTTCATGAAAAAATTAAACCCAATAAAATTGGTTTTATTTGCCTTTGGTAGGTGTAAATTTACATGTAGTTGTCAATTTGTAAAGAGGAATATGGTTTCCTCTCCAAGATCATTTCTGTTTACAGATTGAAGGTTAAATAATTTATGACCATTTACAGTGGCTATTCATCCTAATCCAAATTAGGAGGAGCAACAGGCTACAATACTAATACCCATCAAATTTCATAGACCTGTGATAAAACTAATCTCTTAACAGCTCACTGAAAAGCCAAACATTGTCTTGATTTAAATGTACTTTCACAACTAAAAGGTATATTATTAGCCTTGAAAAATTAAGATTGTAATACTCCTCAAAGTTCAATTAAAAATTCTAACAAGTTGAAAGAATTGACCATCACCTTGTTGCTTAGAGAAATTAACACAGACGTTGTATAAGGAGTATGTGTTGAAGTTCTCAGTCCCACCAAAAAATCACATACTTTAGTAGCTTTATACAAGTTACAAAAAAGCATACAAGTGGGACAACAATGAAAACTATAGTGTATTTTAGCTTAAGTAGTAAACCAGTGAAATTCCTGGAATGGATAGGTTTCTATTTAGTTCCAACCATGTTAAATTTTTTAGTTAAAAGATAAAAAGGTAAAAAAAAAAAACCTTGACCAGAGAAATGCTTTCAAATTTCAGAATTGGTAATTTAATGTTCATAATACCTGGATGAAAATTAATATACTGCACATGTGCTCAAGTGCAAAGTTAAGCCTCCTATGCTCACTTAAATAAAAATTTTAAGAAAGCTTGAACTGTAAACATATGTACGAATCCATTGAACTATTAAGTACCCAGTTTTAGAAAGTTCATTTTGTACAATCTTCATGCTTGGATCCAAAAAGCTACAGTCATTGTCACAGCTATTTACCAAAGCAGAAAGAAAAACACAGATGACCAAATAAACAAGCATAAAATAAAATTTCAACATGGCATGCTTTTAGTAGAGTTGGAGAGGGGAAAAAAATTCCAAGTTACGATTTTAAGCTGTTAGAATTAACATGCTTAGAACACTAGAATATAGTAATCAGGGTAATTCAACAAGCAAGAATGAGCCATACAAACCTGAGTAGTATGATGTTTTGCTCTAATCAATGGCTTTGAAACAAAGTGCAACAAGTATCAATATCTTACCTTGATTATTCCCACTATGTCGTTCATTAGCCCAGCGCCTACCCCCACGGCCCAAGCCTCTTACGCCACGCAGCGGTGGTCCACGTCCCCGCCTATCATCGTTGTATGGATCATTGCTGCCTCTAGAGAGGTGAGAGATGGTAAGTAAGGAGTGAGTGAACATCATTACAAATAGTAAGAAATCTACAAAATTCAATATGCATTTACTTTTATATCATGATTTGAGGGGGAGAAAAAGTGAAATATTAACTATTTTATTAGTATTATCTACCCCCCTCCCCCAATTATGTTCATTCATCAAGACTCCAATAGGCAAATTACAAGTAAATCAAAAGATAAAATCACTTTAATCCTTTGAAACTTATGAATTATCTACACCCTCCCCAATCTAAACAAGAAAAATCCAATGCAAACAAGAAAGTAGTACATACCTTCTCTCTCTTGGTGGTGGAAAATAAGGGCCTTGTGGGGGACCTGACAAGTTCTTCAATTGTTGATCAATTTCTAGCTTTTCTTGTCGTAATTGTTCAACCTCCTATGGATGAAATAGGACAGTAAGAAAAGAATGAATGCAGTTTTAAAAATGGCCAGGAAAAATATTTTGCTAAATAATTGAGTAGTAAATCTTTCTGGTAGTAAAATTTCTTGCAGGAATGATGTACAAAGTGAACTGTCTTTAGAAAAGTAAATGATAAATTGTACTTAAAATTAAAGGATAAAAGTAATATTTGACTATTCCTTAGTAAGTGCTGAAAGCAGCAGCTACATTATACATCCAAAAAAAATGCCAGTAACTTAAAATTTACTTATTTAATCCACCTATACAAGTTATTCTGAAAAGTTCTGTCCAACAAGAAGCATTAAATAGGAAAAACAACTTCCCGTTTAGTCAGGTTGCAAACTTTTCAATATCAACTTTTGTACAAGCCTGTGTAAAATAGATCAGGTTTTTCCTATTAAAGCTCTATATAAAATTAGTGATGATTTAAAGCTCCCAGTCAAAAACAGAATAATAAAAAAAACAAGAGGGCATCAATGCTTTCCTGTTTTTTTTTTCTTTATTCATTGTTAACATTATGAGGAGTAAAGTTAATGTCAATAAATATTTAAAAAAGAAAAAAAAAAAAAAAAAAATCTTAAAATTCATTTCTTTCAGTACCCTGAAAGCTGTAAGTCTTTTGCTGAAAAAAACAAAAACCAGCAGTATTAAATACTGACAGAAATGTACCCATGACATAAGTACACAGAACGGCACAAAGGCAAGTTCTTAGCAGAACCTATTTATCAGTATTTTAAATGGCTAAATATAAAAATTAGGACATGTTGGTTCACTCAAGAACTTCTTAGGACATACACAGATTTCATCTATACTTTAGATGGTAGGAGCAGCATGTCCACAATAAGATTTGTTTTTCAGTACTGTTGCCAAATTTTTTTTAGAATTATTTTTTTTATAAAATTAGAATTATTATTTAATGAATTCAGGCATACATTATTAAAAAAAAAATAAACTAAAAAATAAACATTCTCCCAATCATTTATCACATTATTAAAGAAATGGCATTTTGTGAGCTTTCAGTTCATTTAAATGTAAAGCAATTATGATTCTACTTTCATAATCTCAAAATGCTCAGTTTCAGTAGAGTATTTGGGGGGGGGGGTAATTCGTTTCCAAATCATGGCTTCATATAGAAAAGTTGTTTAAGTGTCAAACCATATATTATTTACAATCTCAGCTATAGCTATCTCACCTAATATACTAACCCTGACTAATATTTTTTAACCTTACAAAATACTTCATGCAGCCAATTGAAACAACAGACTAATTGAGTGCATGCTACTTAATTTGGAGTACACTTTAGGTGAGGGCACTATGAGCAATAAAATTGTGTTAAATGATTTTGCTTATCTGCCAGATAATCTGGCCTAAATTTTAGCAATATCATACAATTGATAAATTTAAAACGAGTTTTCTTTAAATAAAAAAAAATTAAAAAAACAAAATGAGATAACCAATGAAAAATTAGGAAGCAGCAGAATTAAAAGGAAATACTGTACTTCCAGTTGTGTAGCACACTTATAATTTGGCAAGGAATATGTTGAAAAGTGCCTAAAATAATGGGTTATTCAATATTCTTTGAAACTGAAGCCAAATTAAAAAGCTTAAAAGTGTGACTACAAGTGGGGAGAAACAGAAATCAAACTTACTCTTAAATGTGATAAGTGGAACTCCAGTAAAAGTTTTGCATTACTTATGCTTTCTACAGTTCCAACAAAGATGAAAGGCACCTGACCCTGAAACAGACAATACCATGAGTAGAAAAGATAAAAGTTCAGATAAGTTAAGAATTTTAGAAGAAATTACAGGATTTCAATAATTACATAAATATATTTTACAAGACAGATTACAAGACATTAAATACAACTAAAAATGTAAAACGTTCAGCTAGTAGATAAAGCTTACTTCTTGAACACTGACAATATTGCTAGATAAGCAAATTAAGTTTAACAGTACATTCACAAGAGCATTTTTTATTAATTTTGCAAGGCCTGCTATAAGTATTTTATTTAACATTTAAATCTAAAGTTTCTCAAATTCAGTACTATTAATTATATAAAAATCTCAAATAGAAAAGATTTCACATTTCAAACATTGAAATAAAAAGGTTAATATCTACAAACTGAAAAACTATCTTGAGCTAATGATTAACTAAAGTGAAGAAGAGAATATCAATTTCAAACCAAAGAATGGCAGTAATATTTTATACAGTATAATATAAGTTAACAAAAATATAACTGAACAATTATAAAAATACACTGAAAAATAAGATTGCATTACTCTGAAGGGTGATGCCATTTTTGGCCTGGGCACATTTTGTACATACTAAAGAGCAGCAGAGAAAACTAATAGATTTTTCAGTCTTCAGACACATTGTGACAATACTTATACTAGTACACCAGCTATACGAGCTTTAGACAGACACACACATGATGTTTTGATTCAATTAAAGCTGCCTGTAGGCCTTTGATAGGCTGTAATTGGTGGTGCTCCAAGATTAGAAACAGTGTATTGCTGTGTATCACTTCTGCCTGACAATGATTACAACAGTACAGATTATAGAAAATATGGCCTAAGTAGTGTCAACACAGACTTGATTTACTTAGAATGGGCATGAATGCTTCAAGCTAAACATTTACTTATGCCATAGAACCCTCATGTACATCTCCAGCAGTGTTACAAGAGGATCAACCTGGAGAATCAAATGGAACTAATGTATTCCGTGAGATGAGCAGGTTCTGCCTTCATGTAAATGATAGTAGTTTGCACAAAGACCTCCAAATCACATTTACCCACAAAAATTCCAAAGTCCTGGCATCATCGTGGACTGCCATAAGTTACAACTCTTCACTTGTCTTTTGGAGTTTGTGAAGGGAAAATACTGAAAAAAGTGCCATGTACATACAGAACATTGTTCTGCTACAATTCCTGAACTGGAAGAAAATGTGCTCTCCCAGCAGGATACTGCCTACTTGGGATGATGCCTGTGCTATCCAACAAAGCAACTGATAACTCATGGTTGACAGTCACTAGAATCATCTCCATTAAACATAAAATATCTAACCAGCTCACAATTTTTGTTGTATTACACCAACAGGTATGAGAGGCATATAATATATATCACAGTATTATGGTACAATTAACTGCATGCAGAAGTACAGGCCTGTGTTAAAACTCCAAAAGGACATAGGGTATTAATATTAAGTCTAACTACTGTTGATGCACAGCTTACAAAATAAAGAGTATGTGTTAACTTGTACATGTGATCATTTACTGTAATCTTGAATAAGTTAATTTATGATGTAGCAATTTTCTGTCAATGTATAATTATTATTGGAAATATATTTATAAAGACAATTATGCATATATTAAGAATTTTAGAAATAAAGGGCACAGTTAAGGTGCTCAAGATTTTTCAAATTTTAGTAAAAATTGCAATTTTTAATTCATAACTATGAATGATCTAGTATTAAATATTTTCCACTCCCACAACTTGGTGTGTGTGTGTGGATGGGGGGGGGTTGAAATTAAAAAAAAGAAAAAAAAAAAAAGATCTCTCTCTCTCACATATATATATATATATATATATATAATAATGAAAAGGAAAAAATTAAATACTGCTTTCAATTGTATTCTCAAAATTTTACATATATAATTATGTATCAAGAGAATGTGAAACCTATTACAAAGTATTTTTTGATAAAAATATCAAGCAGTTTAAGATCTATGTAAAACCTAGTTAATAACTAATATTGATGTAACAGTTGATAAATATTTTACTCCAAACTGAGGACAAATTTGTATATATTTGCAATGTAAATCATTATCTTCTGTTCTTTTATTGATCTCAATATTTTTCTTATTCTTTCACACTCAGTAACCACTTGCATCTTAGTTGTTTTATTGCCTTGTTCAGGGTGAAATGATTAAGAAAATGCATGATTACCTGCTATAACATTTATGTAGGTAAGATTATCATTGAATAAATTGATAAAAGTAGATAATACTACACCAAAATATTTCACCCAATTAACTTTTCTATACTACAGTAAAGTTATGGAGGGAGAGAGAGAGAGAAAAAAAAAACCAAAAAAAAAACAAACAAAAAAAACACTAAACTGTTTAGTTCATGAAAAAACTGAACCTGCTTGACTATACAAACTAATAAAAAGGTTAAAAAAAAAAAAAAAAAAAATCAGGCTAAAAATCCAAGCCAAAGATAGAAATTCCCAAACATTCATACAAAAACAATGCTTTCCAATCACTAGTTATAATATAGAAAATTTTTTTTTTTTTTTTTACATATATATTAGGTAATTTGATTAACATTTCAAATCTTAAGAATTTTAACATCTTAATCACCTGAAAATAATGAAGCACCAAGAGGATATAAACAGGGATTTGTTAGGATTTTGGGAAGAAAAAGAAAAAAAAAAAAACATGCACACACAAATTTGGTCCAGTACATGAAGACTTTAGGAGTCATTTTAAGAAAGCAAAAATTTTTGAAGATTCTCTTATCCTATATCATTTCTCTGACTTTTCTCAGCTGCTGTATAATGCTGGACTGCATGGCTACATCACCAAGATTTATAACATTCTGCTTCTTAATGAAGTTGCAATTGAACATTTCCTTTCACGAAAGAAAGCAGAGAAACTGTTGAGCTGGTGGTCCATCTGCCACTAATGTAATAAACAAATATTAGCTAGCTATTATACTCAGAGGAGGTAATCTGGTATCAAACAGACCAATACACAAAACTGTATTTTTGAAACTGATCCACCCCATTTGAATATCATGCTAGCTAACATCAAATTCAAATACTACAAGCCTACAATACTACAAGATGCACATTTCGTACATGGCATCAAGAAAGGCCAGAGAAATAATGAAGACAAGTGATGAAAGCAAAGCCCATCTCAAAATAATGATTTTTGGGAGATTTTAACGTTGCAATTTATTTTACACTATTACAGGGAAAAAATTTTTAGTACTGAACTGATCAAATATATGAGGAAACAGATTGACACTCAATAGCATAAATTTTGATAGAGTTTATGCCTTTTGTACTTTAAAGCCATAATAGGACATAAAGCAAACCATTTTGATGGCTAAAAAGTTTATAAGGCTAACAGTTTACAAAAAGAGAGTATAATATACAAAATAAGAATTGGAGGAAAAAAAAAGAAAAAAAAGAAAAAAGCATGCACATTTAGTAGAGGAGATCCTGCTCCCATACAAACAATCACATTTTAAAGAATTTGGCTTAATCATCATTTCTCACCTTTTGATTTAACAAGTGAATGTTATAAAATATTCACAAGTCATTTAAGATGAGATTAGAATGAAATAATTTGTAATATCTAAAAAAAATTTACATTTACAGATTTTAAAATAATTTCCAAAACCAAGACCAAGCAGATTTCAAGATTATTGATAATGTGAAACCATAGATTACACCAGTGCATGTGTGCCATTGTAATATTACCAACTGTCATGCAGGTATTTAATACACCACAACAGCAGGTCATACAAAAGAAAAGAAAAAATGTATGTGTGGATAAATATGAAAAAGTAAGGTATTTGAATATTTTCAAACAGACCAGAATATGAAAATATCACATTTAGGAAGCATCTGTAAGTAATGAGCAAAGCTATATATGCTTCTCTCAAACACAGAAATGTGTACAAAGTAAGCATTAAATTTGTAAGTTCATTTTATATTTAAGAAAATAAAAAATTACAAGTTTTAAAATATTAAGAAAGAGAGGACAGTTTTGAAATAATCTAGTGACTTCACCTAAAGTATAAGTATACAAATCTACATTAAAATTCTTTTGTACATATTAAATATGTGTGTGTAGAACAAAGATATGGACATTTTATTTGTAAAGTGTTCAAAATCCATTGGTTAACAAAGAACGGTTTTACAATTCTCACCCAGTGATCTAATGTGGTGGGGATTACAATTGCATTGAAAATTCAAAAATATTACTAAAAGTGATTTTTTTTGTTAAGGAACTTTTAGATTTTTTAAAAATCAAGTATTTTATTAGTCAGTAAAAGAAATAAAAATAGGACTGATGTACAGATAACTTTCTTTCAATTTAGAGTAAATTAAATAGGAAGTAATGCATGATGAGAGGATGTTCAGCTTGTACACAATGACAATAATGCAGACCATATACACCTGATCATGGACAGTGTTTCAAAGGAAAATAAGCACAAATATTAGACAGATGAAGTGTAAAAATATGGCCAAGGACAACATACTAAAACTCACACAATTACTTCCAAAAAGACATTTCTGCAAAGTGAATCAGATCAAATATTGATAAATTTGATACCAACATTTTCCCTTAAGTCATGTCAATTACCAGATTTTCTACAACAGGCTGCTATAGTTTTGACTGACTATTTTTACTTAGGTAAAATTTCACTGAAAATGGCAGAGGGCCAGCATTGTGTAGATTTAGCCTCAATATATATATACAAAGACTTGCTTCATGCATACAGGCATGCACACTTGTAGTGGGGAAGATAAAGGAAGCTGGAAATTGATAAAGAATGTCCCCTTCATTTTAAAGCCAAGGGTAAAGAAAAACTCAAATGCAATTAATATAAATGACAAATGTTTAAGCGAGTGGTGTGTACTATGGTTTGCAAGTTACTTATAACCTTGAAAGGTAAAGTGTCTGCATAGTCTGGCTTTCGATAAGGGATAATAAAATTTGAGGGCAGGATGTCACCTTAAAGATTAATTGACAACAGAATCTCTGAGAGAAGACAAGCAAAAGGAATGTGGTTGATAAATACATGTATTTAAAGTTTCTGACCTGGCTCATATCATTAGGTGCAGACAGAGAGACGCTAGCAACATCCAGGCTATGCATTCCTAGGAGCTGAAAATATTGACCGTGTATGAGACTGGGATCAAAAGCACAGAACACATATCCCACTGAATTACTAAATTAGGAGCTCCTTTTGAAGATTAGGAATAAGAAGGGTATGTAAAGAGAAAAAGTTAGGAAGTGAGGGAACAAAAAAAAAAAAAAAAAAAAAAAAAAAAAAAAAAAAAAAAAAACAAAGTCATGGATTTGGGAGAGGCGGGGTCTCTATAAATATTTTAATGTATGCTGAATATGCCCAACAAAAACAATGAACAAATGACAAACTTTATACATCATTTTACAATGTATTTTTGGGGTAGTTTTGACATGCCAAATGTATGAAGCTGGCTGATAGCGAACCAGGTTTAAACATTGCTGTCCAAATTAAGATTTCTGAAGAGAATACAGAAAAAAAATTTAACTCTTTCGTGCCTCACCTGCAATTTCCCTTTCTAAATTTTATAAACACTAATTTAGTATGCATAGTTATCAAAAATAAATACCAATATGATATTAAAGTGATTTATTGGATTTTTAAATCAGCTAAGATGAAAGGTATCAGGTACATTTAACCAAGATCAAACAAACAAAATAAGCTAAGGCTGAATTTACTATCATAAATTTTTATTTTATTTTTAAATCAATTTCTTTGGCTACTCCCTTACATATAACACTATCTACAGATAGAATGAGAAAATAAAATTAAATATTCATAATTATTTAAAATGCATTTCACAATTGGGGAGAGAAAGGAGGGGATTTTAACTCATACAGCTGTTTACAGATACAGCTCAATACTAGCCCTCTCTCCTAGCACTCCATGTAAAGAACTTTGGGCACGAAAGGTTAAACTTTAAAAGATTTTTTTATTGGGGACAGTTGGGAGGTAAAAAAAAGTCAATTATATATGAACATAAATATAAAATAACAAAAGAACATAGCAAAATATGATATATCAGCTGTCATAGCATTATTTATAGCATGTTCTAATCATGAATTTAAATCAACGGAAAAATAAAAAAAAAAATAAAAAAAAAAATTGGACATTTACCAGTGGCAAATAATTATATCAGTATGTGAAGAAATATGCCAACATCACTATTAATAAAAATGAAACATCTGTGGCTGTAATCACAGACCTGGAAGATTAGGCAAAAAATTCTTGGCTGGTTAAATTCACTAGAGTAAAATCAACCACTGGTTCAGCATGGAGAGTGAGGCGGAAGGAACTTCACTATAAAAGTTTAGGTTTTACTATCAAGAAAGAGCAAAAAAATAAAATAAAAAATGTGTAAATAAAATTTCAGCTAAAAGTTTAATAGCTCCTCAGCTGTCCAGTTTTTATAAGTAAACAAAAATGAGTGACCATTTTATCTACAAAAAACTATTCAGTGATCATTTTTAAAATGTACTTATTGATTTTTTTTATTTTTATTTTAAATTAGCAGATCATTCAAAGTTTTTTGTATTTTTTTTTTTTTGATGATTTACTGTTACAAGTCCTACTAATTAACCCATAGCTGGAGGGAAAAGGTTAATTCATACCTTTCCCAAGGGTATTTGCACATAAGTGAATACAACAAACCTGAATGGAATTGGAACTCAGCCCTCAGATTTCCAATTCCAAGCTATTATCTATTAGATCACCTGCACATCCAAGCATACAATACCTGGTATTCCCAAGTGGTCACCTATCTAGGTACTGACCAGGTTCAACGTCACTTAACTCCGTTGATCATACAAGAACCAGTGTTTCAACATATGGCTATAAGCCATATTTCTTATTTAATCTACCATTACTAGATTACAATTAAAATATAGTTGTATGCAGCATAAATTAAACTCCTAACAGTAATTTGAGGTTAATATATATATATTTTAAATTCCCAGTAAAACTTTTGAAATGCATTTATATACTTTAAGGCAGACACAAATGTGGTTAAATTGCAAAGCTACAAAAAAAAAAAAAAAAAAAAGTGTCAAAAGAAACTAGATGATCAGGATAAGTTTTGATACAATAAAAACACACCATGTAAAGATATGGAAAAGTAGGATTCTGCCAGCTTCATTACTAAGTGTAAAACAAAAGAATTTACACACTGCATATCCATAATCTTTTCTAACAGGCACAGTAATCTAAAGAGAAAACCTTCAGATTTATGGCACTCTACTGGCCTCTACCTAAATCAGTGAACACTGAAGACCTGTTTATTATATCCATGTTAAGAAAGAAAAAAATGGCTGCAATTGATTAAAGCAAATTAATAGTAATTACTTCATTAATGAGAAGTCAGTCAAATTAATTTACCATAGACAGCCATCATTTTTATGAGAAAATCTGAGAGGATTACAAGTTGATTTAAAACTTAATTGGATTTTACAAAAACTACATATGAAATAGCTGCAATTAAAATAAGATCCTTTGTTTTTAAAGTATACAGGACTCAATATTCAAACACTAATCTCTAAAAAAAAAAAAAAAAAAAAAAAAAAAAAAAAAAAAAATCTGTTGGTTTTGATTTTAAATAAAAATTGAACACTGCTTAAATCTAACTTTAATGCAAGGGTTCTTTATTTAACAGTATTGCAATCAATAATTGTCAGAGACACCATGATTTGACATTTAACTATTTAGCTTCATGCCATAGGAAGAAGCTAACAAAAACAGTTTGTACCTTCAGTACATTGTTATGATAAAAAGAATATAAAAGATGAAAGGGGACAATTTGTGCAAGGTAGAGCATATCATATACACCCAAGGGAATGGGAAAGACTTATGGTATATACTGAATAAAAAACATTCCAACAGTTCACCTTTCTACAAAGCAATGGTGAAGCTGAACATAATCCCATACTTTATGACCTGGGATGATTATAATAAATTGATGGAAATAAAAACAATTGCTCCAAATTTTAATTTTAAACTAAATCAAAAACTACAAGCAAAGCAAATTTGAAGAATTCATAGCATTGAATAAAATTAGGCTTGTCCATTTCTTCACTCAAAAAACGCATAGCATGAGGAAAAAAGGCCCCAAACTTAATAAAAACAAAATTTTATCATGAAAAAGTTTGTTATTATTAAGAGGAAAGACCAAGTATTTTTTTTTAATTTTTTATTCCTTTGCAGCATGTTTTAAATTTAGGTTGAAAATCTTGTTTTTTTTCTTAGGTCAGCAATTAGGTAATATTTAGCATTAGTTGGTTTTTCAGTTAAAAACACATGGATTTGGAAAATCTTGCAAAAATCAAGTACTTGTTGGATTTTAATGAAACCTTCAGAACTTATTCACAAATGAAATTATTTTAGAAATGTTTGTCTTTTCGAAAGTCATGGTATGTTTTTTTTTTTATGTTACCACCCCCTGAACTTCATTTTATGAAAACTCAAAAATTTTTTTTTGCAACCTTAAATTTTCTTTTTTTTTAATTAAATGCACAAGACTCTGAAGAATTTAAATCTTCGATTTATTTGGTAAAAAAAAAAAGAGCAAAATTATCCAAACTTTTACCTCAATTGTAAAAATACAAAACCCAATGAAACTAAGACAATATTTAATTAAAAAAAGCTTTTAGTGGCTTTTCTGAATAACATACTAAGGTAATTTTTATCTGAAAGAAAAAAATTTTTTTTAATGAAAAATGAATTCTTACAATAATTTCTTTTTTTTCAATTTTAAATACATGACAAAAGTTTGTTATATATTTTAAAATTAAGTTTCTTTATGAAACCTTATGGAAATGATATATTATGTTCTCTACTTTTTAAAGATCATAAATTTGAAAGCTTATTAAAATCTGACAACCGTTGATATTTTTAAAATAATTTTTTTAATATTCCAAAATTGTATTTAAAATCGTCCCCAACGAAAGTATGGGTGCACAGCTTTGAAAAGTCACGCGAGTAGTTTCCCTTGATAGAAGCAAGTTGTTTTTCAGAAATTGCTTTGCATTCGTTCAGTTAGCAACACAACAACGCTTGTCAAGTTTTCAGACTGAATATCGTCGCATTTTCCAAATTTTCTTTTCAATTTTCAAATATAAACAATTTTTCCTTTTTCAGTGTGAGAAACTGCAAATATTATTCCTTTTTTTTTTTTTTTTATTATTTTATATTCAATTTCAAGCACGAAAACAGTGCAATGTTAAAAAAATTTTACAACTGCTGATACAGCTGTTTAAAACGCTCATTTTATTTGTCATGAAAGACATGCGGAAAAAAAAAGAATGTTATTTGCTAAGTATTGTTGTCATCACCCCAGGTCTAAAAAAAAAAAAAAAATACAAAAGCCATTTTTCAAACGTCAGTTTGAAAAAAAAAAAAAAAAATTATTGTTGATCCCAGTGTTGACCCACCACTTTTTTTTTTTCACTCTTTGTTCTTATCCAAGAGTGGTGGGTTTTCACAAAACGTTTATATTGTTAGCTGGCTGGCCTTTGACCCCAATATATCAGTCAATTTGGCTTAATTTTTCCTTATCACTATTTTTTTGAGAAAAGAAAATGACACTCCTGGTTTCTGGAGGTTAGAAATTGCAGATAAAACTTTCGCCTTTTACTAAAGATTTTCGTGGCCGGGTGCCAATTTTTTTTAACACCTCCGCATCCGTATAATTGAAGTTACCAATGAACTTTGTTGCATCCTTTCAAACTCAATTTTAATGCCTGATATATAGTTTGATTATGATTTAGGCTTTCTGATTTTCCAAAAATAAAAATGGTTAATATCCCTCTTCCTCAAACCACAAACGTAAGGTAAAAAAAAAAATTTGGAAGTATATTTTATACACTAACCAGGTTCACTTAAAACTAGAATAAAATGTCACTTCTGCCCTACTGGCCAATAAATTCCCGACATAAGTTGTCGATATATTGATGTACATCAGTTAACACCTATCAAACACGTGCAAAAGCAAGCACCACAGTTGGAAATGTCTCTTTAAAAAATTTGATAAAAAAAAGTAATGTTTCTTTCAAATTACATTAAGCATTTAAGTATTTTTTAATTTTCCTAAAATAACAAAAGAAAAAGCTGTTAACTGAATTTTACAGGATTTTTAAACTAACTTTGATTTTTTTGTTTACAAAGTCAGACAAAAAGATCAATAAGGCCAAATTTACAAAATTTTTTTGAATCAAGAAAAAACAAAATTTTTAAATAAATATTTTAGAATTATAGGAAGGATTAAAAAATCTGATAAAACATTCAGAAAATACTTTGGTCTTTCATCTTAATAATAACAAACATTTAGACATTAAAAATTTTTTTTATCAAGTTAGCTTTTTTTTTCTTTATGCTATGCTTATTTTTTTGCGAAGTGTTGGACATACCTAAATAAAATTGTATTTCTATATAAAGGAAAATATGCAAGAATATTACAATGAAAGTTTAGAATATTTAACATCTTAAATATCTGTGCACCAACTAAAATGTTTAGAAACATTTTGCAATATAAAACAAGTTAGAGAATTAAACCAGCATACAATTTTAGATCAACTGGTTATAACAATCTCCTCTACAAATTACAAGAATTCTACATATTGCAATTTTGTGTAAATTTTTTCTGAGTCAGTGAAGGGTGATAATGCAAATATTTGTTGCGAATGCAAAGCTAAAACCAGTCTTTTTCAGAGACATTAATTTTTATCTCGACACATTAACAACTGCACCTCATACATACCTCTTCTCTTGGAGCTTCATGTTCATTGTCACCTTCTATTTTTACTCTAACAACACCAGATTTGTCAACAATATCTTGAATATTTCTGCCATTTTTACCAATAACTTTTGCTGGAAAAAAAAAAAAAAAAAAAAAAAAAAAAAAAAAAAGAATTATTTAAACAAAGAATCCTAAATAAACATTACTTTCTATTGTATGAATCAATATAGTTAGTAGATGTGTGATTTAACTGAAAACCAACTTTTTTTGGTTTCATCATCACACTGAAACACTATTGAAGCCTTTCAGATGTTAAGAAATGTAAATTTTATCAAGATTTATACCATTGTAATAGAAAAAAGTTGAACAAAAATGTTAAACATTTGACTAGTTTTAGGAAATAAATGTGAAATCTATTTGTTTACAAAAGAAATGATGGGGGGAGGAAATACAACAGATATGACACTTGGAAATCAATGTTTTCAAATAGGAAAAAAAAAAAAAAAAAAAAAGAAATACAACAATGTCTGAAAAATGAAAATGTATTCGTTTCAGTTAAAAAAAAAAAAAAAGCTGTGTGGTAAAATTAAGTTAACAAAATAGCAAGTAAAAATAAAAAATTAGTTGCTAGTTTTGTCTTAATGTTATGAAGTTGGATTTTTTGTAATTGTTTTCTAGTAAGCCAATACACCAATCACAAAGTAAGTTGTAAACAATAAAATATGAAAATAAAAATAGATCTTTTTCAATAAATAAATTTCTTTATCTAGGTAATGCACCTAAATTAGACATTAAGAATAATTAAAGGTCTTAATTTCACTTTTAAAATATGTACATTTCCAGATATGCGAGTCTCTAGTGTAAAATTGTTTGTTTTCTACAAATAAAATTATGTTTCTATCTAGCAAGTGCACCTAAAATTAGATATTAAAAAAATAAAATTTGAATCTCAGTTTTAAAATGTATATTTTCAAAACTGCAAGTCATTTTGTTTTAAACCCAAAGTAAAAAAAATATTCTTTTTTAGTCACTAGTGTTCAGTGGGTGTTCTACTTATAAAATTCTTCTAAACAAGGAAAATTAATTCATTTTATTTTTACAAATATCTTTATGGTTTAGCTAGCAAATACACTTAAGCTTATATATTAAAATGATTACAGAATAGTTTTTAATTTCAGTTTTAAAATGTATAAAGAACAGGTGCTACTTGGAGATAAAAATGAAATTAAAAGCTTTTAATTATATTTAATTTTAGGTGTAGTATTCGCTAGATAAAAACATTTAGGGGGAAAAAATAACTCCTTGATTTTCCTGGTTTAGAAGAAAAATATTTGTAAAACCCCAATAACAGTTGACTGGTGTATCAGAAAAGATATGCCATATTTTTAATAAATTTTTAAACATGAGGGTGTTCATTTCTTGGCTTTTTAAAAGCCACATCATAAATTTCTGTAGAGCTATACCATTTTATTTTCTCTCAAAAGTGTATTGTCCAAAGACACAAATATAGATATTTTATGCAATGATCTTTCGTATTTTACCAATTTGTTAATAAATATGGTAGTTGACAGTTTACTCAAAAGTTTAATAAACTTTAATCAAAGTCATGAATTCTATGACTAAATTACTTTTAAAGCCTAAAAACTGACTTTAGGTGAACAATTCCTTTATTACCCACCCTGATTTGCAGTTTTCGGGTTTTCAATTCCAGTGGTCTTTAAAGACCACTGGAATTGAAAACCCGAAAACAGTCTATAAATGTCTATAAATTTTTATTACCCTTTAAAACCAAATATTGACCCCTTATGCACCAGTTAACAGACTTCCACAATGACTAGCATTTCAAAAACAACACTCGAAAGTTGAAAGTATAGAGGGCATTTATTTTATACGACAAGACAATAGTTTCAATAATCTGAAAGCTCTTTTACCACACATACTATCAGTTAGTTTTTTTTGCTGCTTACTTTATAATTTTCAAAGGAATTTGCTTTCACGGGTCAGAGAAGAAATAAACATCTTCCTGGTTGTAGCTTAAGGTATCTTCTAAATAAGAAGATTGAGTGTACAATTTCAAGAATATTGATAAAGATTGCTCACATTGACTTTGCGAAACAAAGTAACATGTAAATTTTAGTCTTAAAAAAAAGTAAAAGAAAAAGCCATTTGAAGCAAAAATATAATTCAATGAGTAAAAGCACATACAAACTATATATTTAGATTATTTTATTTTCTTTCTAGTCATATGAATGTTTTTAAGATCGGACCAGGAATACACAAGAGTTTGCAAGTTGCAAATTTATCAAACGAAATCAGATATTGACTGGAAATGCTATCATTACACAAGAAAATGAATGGCTTTCTTAAAAAGCAAAAATACACAATTAAAAACCAAAAAAACGAATCGAAAACTGTGGTATCAACGATAAAAAGGGAAACTGATACCGAAACAGAAATTGCCAAACTAACCAACTCTAATAGTTAGAACAAGTATTATTTCCTTTTAGGTCTACAAGTTTTATAGCAAACTATTATTGTTTTGTTGCCACTTAAGACTGTTTCTTGCAATCACTGTAGAAATTTAATTCTGAAATATTTTACCAAGAGATACTCAATTTAAATTTACATATTTAGAAAAATTAAAACCACTCGGTGCATAAGAATAAAGTAAAAAAAAGTTACAACTATTTTTATCTAATTTAATGTGATTTTAACAGGAAAAAATACAATAGTTCATTTCATAAATTCAAAATTTACATCTAATAGTAAATATCTCATCTTTATTATTAACCTGCCTAAAAGTTAGTGAGTAGGAAGTTTGTTCTATTAGTATAAACAGCACATCTACTCAAACAGTAATTTTTAAAGTAACCATTTCATTAGGTTATATCATAACTGATTACATTTAATCAATTCCACTTACTTTAAAAAGAAGTTTTACCTAAATATATTTTCTATTTTTAATGAACAGTTTAAAAAGATAAATATTTAAATACTCCATTTTAACATTTATAACAGAGCATAAAAAACATGCTATCAATTTTAATAAATAATTTAAACAAAAAGTTAATTATAAAATTTAATTTATGGCAATTTTTAAGGTTTCACAAGTATCCTTTGTTGGTTTTAGTTTAATATGAAAGTTCCAATACTAACCAACTAAATCTCTTGGGACCTGAAACGTTTCTTCTGCATATTCAAGCATATTCCTTGCCTCTCGCACAGCATCTTCAGTCTGAATTAAAAAAAAAAAAAAAAATTCTCTAGTAATTTCAAATGTAAACTTTCAATGAAAAGAATATGTACAATATTTTCAAAATGTTGAATCGGTGGCATTCAGCTCAGAGATATAGTAATACAACAGTTAAGAAATTATAGCTTAAGTATAGAGATGCATGTCTTGACAACTGGAATGAGTTCTGAAAGATTAAAAATTAAAGCCAACATAATATCTATTAAATATTTCTTACTTTTGTAAGCATGAATGGAAAAAAATTCCATAAATTTGAGAAAAGGTACTTTCCTCAAATTTATGGAATACCAAGATTCGTTTGGTTTGTTTGGGTTTGGTTTTACAGCATATCAACCTCAATAGGTTATTTAATACTGAAAAATTTTTTTATTGTTGGTAATATTTTTTTTTTTTAAATCTATTTCTGGTAATATTTTTCCTTCAAAAAATCTATTTCTGGTAATAATTTTCAAATATGTATCGCTGGTAATATTTTTTTTTTTTCAAAAATATATTGCTGGTAATAATTTTTTTATAAATTATTTCTATTAAAACCTATTTTTACACTTTCATAGTATTTTGACCCCAGTTACAATTCCATTAAATAAAGTTTTACATCTTGATTATGTATTATGAATTATAAATTTTTACATGTCGCAAATTTTTTTTTTTTCTTATATATGGGTGAAGTGTCCATTTCTATATACTTCAGACAGCATTCTGTTTCTTATGTTTTGTTCATTGAACTTCTTTTGTTTCTACTTTCTTTAGTTTTACTATTTGGTTCTTTTAATGAACTTTGTCTAGATGATGATCTTTCCCTTGTTTGTGATGGGTTAGAGATTTGTTCCTCTATGTCCATTTTCCTTGATTCTTCAATAACCGTTTCATTATTTATTTTGTATCTTTTCATTCTCTTGAGAATGTTTCAATGTTTCTATTTCTTGATTTTATTTTTTTCCATTTTGATTTTTCGGATTTAATAGTTTTGTAGATGTAGAATCATTTTTGTTTCCAGTTGACGGTATAGGGTTTGTTTTTCCATTAGGTTCTTTTAATGATCTTTGTATAGATGATGACCATTCCCTTGTTTGTGATAGGCTAAAGTTTTGTTCCTCCATGCCCATTTCTCTTGATTCTTCACTAAAAGAAGAGGGTTGGGTTTTTTTTTTTAGGTACCTTTTGATTCTCTTGAGAATATTTAGGTTTCTATTTCTTGGATTTTTGTACTTTAGTTTGGATTTTTCGGACTTAATTGTTTTGTACATGTAGAGATTTTTTTGTTTGAGGTTGACGGGACAGGTTTTTTTTTTGTTTATGGGTGTTTGATTTATGAGTGATATACTACATTTTAGTAGTTCTATTAAACTTTTTAATTCATTAATAAGAGTTATAAGATCTTGGCTTTTTTAATGCATTGTTTTCTTGGACAACTTTTTGTTGATTTGATATTTTAGTGATATCTGCATATGATGCTTGAAGTGAATTAGATTCAACCTGTTTCCTGGAATGAGATTTTGCATGTATTTTCTTCTAATTATTTCCTTTTTCCAAATGTTACACTCTTTGGAGTCTGCTGAACAATTTTCTTTAGTTTGGACATAAAGGAGGCCTTTCACAAGGTGATTTATCATGCTCAGTTCACAGTTCCCCACATCTTCGACAGACATGTTCTTGAAGATGACCAAATTTATGACATCTACAGGGATTAGGAATGTATGGCTCTACCTTGGCTATTGTGTAACCTATCTTTATTTCTTTTGGTAGAATCGGTCTGTCGAATGCCAAAATATATGTGTTGGTGTTTATTACTGTGTCATTTCTTTTTACTTGTATTCTTTTAACATCTGTTACCCCTTGCTTTTTTAGGGTGTCGTCATTTTCAATTTCTTCTAATGAACAAAGTGACAGTTCTGGGCATTTTATTACTCCTTTTGATGAATTAAGGAATTAAATGGTGGGTAAGCCTTGACTTTATTGTTCTCAATTTGCTTGATTTTTAACAATTTCTCTGCATCTTTTTTGGATATCACTTGAATTAATAGAGTATTATTTTTCTTTATATTTTTAACAGATTGTGGTTTGATCATGTCTGAAATAACCCATTGCAACACAAAAGGAGACACTTTTGATATATCACCCTCTACTGATTCTACAACAATGAAAGTTGGAAATTGATTTTTTTTCTATTTCATTTTCAGAAGTCTCATATTGTATCTTGGTTCACTTATAAGAGTGAGCCATATAATTTTAATTTTTGTATTTGCTGTGTGCTCTCCACCCACCTCTGAGTTCCTTCTTAAGGGATCCCATTTGCCCGAATCCACCAAGGTTACACAGACAGTATAGTTGTGATGAGTGGATACGAGCACCTGCACTCCCCCACCATATCCACCCAAATATAGTATGATGTATGGTTTCGTAGCCATGTCAGACCCATTATCTTATCCCAACTAGCCCTTGCCACAATGTGACTAGCCGATTTGAATGGATTGGGCTATTCCATCTGCCCGTCTATCCCAGGTAGGGACCGAAGTGACAAGTTGTGGAAACCCCTGGTCATTTTACACCAGATCAGGAGTCACTCAGTCACCAGAACTGTCCCCAGGCATCACGGGTCGCCACCCACAGCAAATAGGTGGCCCCATTTAAGGGAAATTTTAGTTTTTTGAAATCTGGTTTTGTGAATGTGCATTTTATATACTGCAATTTGTGTTTATGGTATTATTATTACAAAAACCCATTCTTACACTTTCCAAATATTCCAACTCCAGATCAAGGGAAGGGGGAAACTATTTACCCATAGCTGGGACCCTAACAGGTGCTACCACCCCAGGTCTGCGTGGACCCAGGAACAACAGCAACTAAGAGGCGGTTCCACGCTCCTCAAAACCTCCTGATCAGAGGCCTTGCTGCTGGATGCAGTTTATTGTCATACCCAGGACAATACCATCCCAAGAGTTGTTTAGAATACCAATTTTATTTTAACTGCTCCATTGTGGCAACAAAAATGAGACCAATAGTTTGAGTTTTTTTGATTGAAAGTTACTTAAATAATACATAAAGTAATAATTGATAATGTTTAAGTCAACAAATTGACAAAAGGAAATATGGATACTTACCTCTCCATAAACTTTAAATGTGCAAGATGACTCATCTAGTTCTATTCCTGTGATGCCCTGAACCTTTCGAGCCTGCTGAATATTGCTGCCATGTGTTCCTATTGATAAACCCATCAAGTCTTCTCGAACTGAAAATTCTTCCATATAACCAGACCGAATTTTTGCACTCTGTGATAAAGAGAAATGCTATGGTGGTGTGAAAATGCACTCACAAATAGAGATCATTTTTAGAATGTTGCTAAAGTCAAGTGTTCTAAGGATTAAAAAGCATAAATGTATTACCTGTAATTTCTTAACAGCCTCTTCTGTTCTTTGTTTCAACAAGACTTTTTGACGCAGATTTCTCAAAAACATGTCTCCCATCAAGGAAGCTTTTTTTATCACAGAAGAATTTGTTGACTATAAGGAAAAAGAAAAAAAAACTGAGAAGAAAAAGCTTAAAGATGCTTAAGTATTTTGAAAATAAGCAAGTATAAAAAGTGAAACATAAAACATGAAATCTTATCAAATAGAAGAAAGTTCTCACATAAGGTAACATTGTACTAACAATCCATGCTTCATTTTTGAAAACTGACTTACCCAGACATTAAGGTAAACATCAGTGTACTTCATAACTTCTAAGTAAAAAAAAAAATTGCGAACAGCAAAAAAACAGCTAGTCCAAAGCTCTGATTAGATGCCAGAATATTGCAATAGTAAATTAGTACTGCAGCTTAAGACCATAAAATAACATTCAATTCAAGTTGAATTTCTTGGTCGTCATAAGATAACACCTAAAACAATCTTGAAATCGGTTACTGCAATTTCAAATATATAGAACACTATATTTTGAGGGGATTCCCTATAAAGTGAAAGAACTATAAATTACACAAACAGACCCATGTGCTAAATGTTAATGACCAAGTTATCAAATATTCTTAGATACAAAATAAAAAAGCTTTCAATAAAAATAACTTAAGGATTAAGTTCAATACATATTTTCCAAGTCTAAATATGGACAGAGAGCAGATGAGAATCTGATGGAAATGTTAATATATAACAGCCTGGAATCTCCATTAATTTTTTTTCTTAACCTGGGAAATATTTACACATGTATATTTTAGTGAAAAAGCATGCTTCTGAGTTTTCCCATCTTAATAGTACTCAAATTTCATTAAATGGTTCTGACCATAAACACTAATTTTAAATGAAACGATGTAGTCTACTGTAAAAACAAATTTTTATAATCTCAATATAAAACAGAGAAAGCATAGCCACTAAAGATTCCTTAAGTTTCTTTAGTGTATATGTGTGTGTGTGTGTATATATATATATATATATATATATATATAGCATGGACAGTTCAATAGTGTCTCTACTTCACTCATAGATATTGAGCAATATTACCTAATAAAAATAGCATTTTCATTCAAAAAGCTTTTTTAAGGCCTAGAGATCCATACAAACATACTAAATCTGATAAAGCACATGCTACAGGAACATTTCTCAGGTGTGCAAAAATTTAGAAACCTAGAAATCTTGTTCCTTAAAATATAATTTAAGTGAGAAATACTTTTTCCCAAAAAAGACTAATTCCAATTAACATTTCTATATATTTTTTATAGACCTTTGCAAGACAAAGCAGTAACCAAAGACCCATTTAAATTGTATTATAGAATATTCGAAAAATAAATTCACCAAACACAGAATTAGAAATTTGTGTCACAGTTTTTCACTTGTTAAAAAATTTAACAGTGACATCAATAGAATTTGAACATCTGCATTTGAAAAATCTTATTGAAATTTACTAAAATTGTCTTTATTACATTAATGATATTCTTGAGAAATCATAATAAAAGACCAATTGAAGATAAATTGCATCAAAACAGCACCAAGTATATTGCTTCTTCAAATCAATTAATCATTTTTTTTTTCACAATTGCTGTAGACAAGAAATGTAGAAATGAAATGTTTAAATATAACTTTCTATAAATATTTAATATTGACCGATCTGACCGATTAACTTCTAAGAGAAGACAGTGAATATTGTACTAAGTCAAACTGTTTCTTTTTAGGCCACATTTTCCTATAAATCACATGCAATATTAAAATCTTGAAGAAAAATGAGTGCATAATGATACAAGTTTATCACCCAAAAAAAGTTTTTAAAAAGATAATAGTCTTCCAATTTAAATAAGTTCTCAACAGGCAGTGGAGGACTGCAAACAAAATAGTATAAGTAGTTTCACTTAAGATTTTTTTAGAAAGTATTATCAATTCAAACATTAATCGCATTACACCGAGACTAACAATGAGATTAAAAAAAAACAAGATCAATAGAAATAATTGCAAAAATATATTCAAATATTACTGCAAATATATTAAACAGAATCAAGTTTATACAAAAAGCATTAATACTGTTTGTATGCAAACAAAAAATAAAAACACAAAAAACATCCAAACGTTTTCTAATGATAAGATTTGTTACCATATGCAAGATTTGTAAACCTAAAATCAAACCACACTAATTCAAAGGTTAAATTCTCAAATTTTATCTTTGTGTGTCTCTGGGTGGGGAAAAAAAACAACAACAAAAAAAAAAAAAAAACACTAATATGACACTGAAAACAAATCTCAGTTTGAACTATCAAAGTCACTGATGAAAAGGTATATAAAATACTCACCAGAACAACTAATGCATTATCATCTGAATTATACAAAACAACTGCTGCACCACAGTGTTTCTTAAATTCTGCTAATGTTGTTTCTTCGCGGCATCTGAAGTAACAAAAGTAGTTAAATAAAAAAAAAATTTAAAAAAAAAAAATTAATTTCAAGTTAAATTTTTAGGACATTTTAAAATTATGTGGAAAGATTTCTAAGTGCAATTAATAAATTGCAGAGCATTAATTCTAATACAGCATTTAAATGATCAGACGGTGAAGATATTAAATCTATTCACAAAAACAATTTTTTATATATATAATTCCTACGAAAGAAACATACTTACACCTCTCTCAAATCAGATGGCACTTCAAGAATAGATTTTCGAAAACTATCTTTTGAAATGCTTGGACTGAAAAAGAAAAAAAGTCCGCTAAAGCATTAAAATCTCCAAGATTTTATAGTATACATTTTTATGATGTCCAATATAAAAAAAATTTTTTTTTTAAATAGTATATACATATACAACATTTGGGAATTTCATCTTGACCAGAATGGTGAGAGATGCACAGAGAGAGACAGAGAGAGGCACACGCATAAATGAGACACACACACATTTACAGACCCGAGAGACAGAGACAGACAGAGACACACACACACAGAGACACACACACACACAGACAGAGACACACACAGACAGAGACACACACAGACAGAGACACACACAGACAGAGACACACACAGACAGAGACACACAGACAGAGACACACACACACAGAGACACACACACAGACAGAGACACACAGACAGACACACACACACACACACACAGACAGAGACACACACACAGACACACACACACACACACACAGACACACACACACACACAGACACACACACACACACACACAGACAGAGACACACACACACACACAGACACACACACACACAGACACACACACACAGAGACACACACACACACACAGACACAGACAGACACACACACACACAGACAGACACACACACACACACACAGACACACACACACACAGACACACACACACACACAGACACACACACACACACACACACACACACACAGAGACACACACACACACAGAGACACACACACACACACACACACACACACACACACACACACACAGACAGACAGAGACACACACAGACAGACAGACAGAGACACACACAGACAGACAGACAGAGACACACACAGACAGACAGACAGAGACACACACACAGACAGACAGACACACACAGACACAGACAGACACACAGACAGACAGAGACACACACAGACAGACAGACACACACACACACAGACAGACAGACACACACACACAGACAGACAGACAGACACACAGAGACACACACAGACAGACAGACAGACAGAGACACACACAGACAGACAGACAGACAGAGACACACACAGACAGACAGACAGACAGAGACACACACAGACAGACAGACAGAGACACACACAGACAGACAGACATTTGATTCTAGGTGGAAATGCTAAGCAAGGTGTAAATACTACCATCATATTTTAACAAGTACAAATTTTAAATTATGCAATAATACTGGACCCCATTAAGAATTTACAAGAATGAAAAATAGAACTCACTTTTCATTTAAGGGCCTGACTTTCTCCAAAGGTAGAATATCTGTATGTGAAGACTCAAAACCAGAATATTCAACCACAGCAAAATCTCCCTTTAACATTTTAATTTTGGATGGCCACCATCCTATCATGTCATCATCCAGAGATTTGCTGAGCACCTGAAATAAAATTAGTTTCAAACAAGCTTGTCCAAACATTTAAAGTGGAGAAAATTGTTTAGAAACAATACTTTTGACTAATAGCTTAAATATTAATATCAAACACAAATTGACAGATACAGAGAAATATTTTTTTACAAAAATCAAGTTTATTTTATAAAATAAAACTTTGAAAGCCTAACATTTTAAATAAGCTCCTCTAAGTATTGTTACTTTTGAATGTACTAATCTAATAGACTTATGCCTCTAGTTGAAAAGTATAGATTCATAGCAATATAAGTTCCTGAAAAGGATAGCTAACAAGTCAGCAACACTAAAACCTTTATTTTCACATCTTGCTATAAGAGGGATCACTTGTCAGAAATAGTGTATGCTTTGGTGGAGAACATGGTTAGTAGCAGCCGCTGCTGCTGCTAATTTGTGTTGTAAAGGGAGGAGAGGGGGTTCTGCTTCATGCAATACCAAGACCAAAATGGAAAGGAGATTCTTTACTTGTGCTGCTACTGAAGGAGAATATAAGATAACCAAGCAATTAATAAAATAAGAGCATTTCTAGAAAATTCCACACAGATATTAGTGAACAGATTTAATAAAGAGATTATATATATATATATATATATATATATATATATATATATATATATATATATATATATATAAAAATATACACACTATAAATAAAAAAAAAAACTCCAATTTTGTACCTTCAATATAAAATGCCATCCAAATGCAATAATACAGAAAAAATACAAGTTCTGCACCCAGACAGTATTTCAGGCAAGCATTTGCTGCTCTGTTAAACCAACAAGTTTGTGAAACATATACAGCAAAAAAAAAAATAAAAAAAAAAAAAAAAAATAAATAAAAGATAGTATACCGTATAAATTCAGTATTAAACAACTCAAAGTAACCAACAGCAGCAATAAAAAAGCAAAATAGTAAAAGTACTTATTATAGAAGTTAAAATTCATTATACTGCAAACCATACAATCAAGCCTTGGAAAATATCAAAGGGTAGAAATATTTGAAAAAATTTCATATATCTAAATTACAAAACAAAAGTTACTTTATTAAAAAATTAGTGGAAGAATTTGTTTTTCATCTGAATTTCTATGAATTAAGAATTACTAATACAATTATAAAATATTGTAAAAATGGTTTTTAAAATTGATGTCTTCCTGTACATGGCTGTTAAGTACATTCATTGTTTGTACAGACTGGTAATATCAGCAAAATTCTTTAAAGACAAAATTTATTCCTTACACACTTAAAAAGAAATAAGTATTAACCAAAGATGACAAGTTATTATTTACAAGAAAATTGTTTTTTTATCACTGCCTTCTTGATATTAGTTTCAGATAACATATAGCAGTGATTTTCAGAATATTCAATTATCTATCACATGGAGGTCCCATAAGTGGAAGAGCTGTCCCAAAAGCTCTATACCATACATACATAGGCATGACAAATGTAACATAACTGATCCATGAAAAAAGGAAGAGAAATGGGTGAGCTAAATTCAAATTCTAGTCTTATATTCACTTTCATAGAAATTCCCATGAATCCATCTCTTTACAACCCACCAAATATGGGTTAAAGAACAAGGCATGCAATTTAGAACCAGAAATTCCAAACTATAGTGAAGGCAATGGAAAACTACCACACAACCTTTTCCAAGAAGTCATTGCAAGTCACAGATTTAAAAAAAAAAAAAAAAAAAAAAGTACAGACCCATAACTATGATCATTTACACTGAAAGAACATGTCATTAAAAATTAGGACAAAAATTAAAGTGGTATGATATAAAACACTATCCCGCATAATAAATAAAAAGTTATCTGTATGACATTAACCTTTTGGAATGGCCACCTAAAGGCACTCAATCCAATAAAGAATCAATAGAATAGCATTAAAAGATTGTACTAATGAAAATCACTACAGATTTTAGCACAATATGCCACATTTTTAAATTAGAAAAAAAGGAAAATTTTTTTCATTATTTTTAGCAGGGTTTCCAAAGTTTCCCAGGATACAGTATAAATAAAAAAAATTTCAAAGTATTTACAGATTTATCTATTTCAATTGATATTAAGAATATCAACAAAACTGTCACTGATAACTAAATCATAATAAAAATTTAAGTTGCAATAACATGTACTGTATTGAAAAAAAATCCAGTTTTAAATTTCTATATATAATACCCAAGAAAAACTACTTTTCACACAAAATAGAATGCAAGAGAAACATTCAATTAAGTAAATGGGATAAAGAGAAGGCAAGTATCTTAACAGAATACAAGACAGCACATGTATATTTTAGTAAAGTTTCTCCCACTGACAAGCTTAGCTTAATTCAGATTTTAATCAGTGCATGTGATGGGATATTAATCAGTCTCTTAACTTGCTAAGATACAAATCACAACCAAAAATGAGTACAAGACTTTTGTGGGTGATTGACTACATTTGTTTTGCATTTTTGCATTCCTAAGGGAAATAAGTTAAGCAAGCTTAGCAGCCAACTTAATGTCAAAGTAAAACTGCTGATGATGTCAAAAGCTCAACTCAACACTATATTTAGCATCATTGTATAAGAAAATGTAGAAACTCCTACAAAGAAAATGTCACTGGCAAGGTACCAGAACAGATAAATTCTAATTAAAACTGATTATCCTAAAATTATCTTGGCTGCTGTTGTTGATGTTGAAAAGTTATTGGCTTGATCTGCTTTACAAAATATGATCCAAGGAACAATTTTTTTTTTGAAGGGTCCCTTAGTTGAGCTAAGAATTTTTCAGCACCACCTTATTTACAAGGATTGGTAAATATTATGATGGACAACAGATGTATCTGCCATGTTACTCCTGCCAAAGAAAATAATTGTTCATGTTCCCTGTCTACCATTATGGCTTGCAATAAACATCAAAATTACCATCACCAGAACAATTGGAAAATTTTTTTAAGTGCATTAATGTCATAGCAATTCACAGATAAAGGAATCTGTAGTGAATCATAATTATAGCCTGAAGCAATGGGAGATTAAGTTGGAAATGCAAAAGCAGCCATGACCAAATTTTGAAATATTCTATTTCCAAAGTAGTTTAGAATAATTTGCATCCACTAAGTTCAATATATAATATTTTAAAGAAAAGTTATCACAAATTACTTCAGAATTAATTTGTTTACAATTCTTAATATATTTTAATATTTACCATTTTCTTAATACAGTGGCAAAACGTTTTTAATATCAGAAATAAAATATGAATTGGGAAACAAACTGCTTGATTGAATATTTTATTGAATAGTTTATTCTTTCACCTTATTAAAAATTAGTGCTGTGAATAAAAAAATCTTCAGTAAATTTCAACAACAGCTTTGCAATATCAAGGCAGAAATCAAAAACAATTTTCTTGTAAATAGTATCTTATCTTTGGCCAATATTTATTCAATAAATTTCAGCACAATGTCAGAGTTGGAAAGAAAAAAAAATGTAGACGTGTTTTCAAATTCTACTTGTGTTGAATACTGTGAATTAATATTTACAAGAAAATTGTTTTTGATCACTGCTTTGAATCTGAAAGACATTTTGAAATTTTAAATTATTAATGTAGTCTATTGCATAACAGATTAGTTATAAACCGTTAAGTGATTATTTTACTAGGAAGTTTTAATAGAGTTTTGAAATGCGTAAGGTTTCTAAATTGAATAAATTTTGTCTTTAAAAGAATTTTGCTGATATTACCAGCCTGTACAAAAGATGAATGTACTTAGCAGCCATATACAGGAAGACATCAATTTTAAAAACCATTTTTACAATATTTTATAATTGTATTAATAATTCTTAGTTCATAAAAACTAAATTCAAATGAAAACAAATTCTCCCATTGTAATTTCCTTTTTAATGAAGTAACTTTTGTTTTGTAATTTAGATTTGTGTGAAATTATTTTCTCAAATATTTCTTCCCGTTCATATTTTTCAAGACCTGACTATCATTTGCAGTATTTTAACTTCTATATGATGTACTTTTACTATTTTGTTTTTTATTTAACTATTGCTACTGTTGGTTACTTTACAGTGTTGTTTAATATTGAATTTATACAGTATACAAGCTTTCATTTATTTTTTTCTGTATACCTTTCACAAACTGGTTGGTTTAACAAAGTAGCAAATGCTTGCCTGAAGTACCATATCTGGATGCAGAACTTATCTTGTATTATTGCATTAGAATAGCGTTTTATATTGGAGGTACAAAATTGAAGGTTTTTTTTATATATATGAATTTCTTGCTTTATTAAAGCTGTCCACTAATGCCTTTGTGAGATTTAAGAAATGCTCTTGTTTTCTTGATTAGTTATCTTATACTCTTCTTCAAATAAAGAATCTTTACATTTTGGTCTTGGAATTACACGGCAATAGCAATATATCCTGATAAGGATCATTAATATATCAAAAACTACAAATAAATATCAGTTATACAATAAAAGATTTGAATTAAAAATTGTAAAAAAAAAAAAAAAAATAGTTTAAGAATAAAAAATAAAATAAAAAAAAAATTCCAATCAAAATATATTGACGATAAAAGATGTTTGTATGACAGTTCACAATTTCAGAGTGGCTACAATACCCCAAACTATTTTACAGATTGTTTCTAAATATTTCCCATACATATAAAATTTTTCACTATCAGTTCATTAGAGAGAAAAAGTACCTAAAAGTGTGTTTATAAAAACTAGAAATGGGTGAGTTGCAATAGTGTATCTGTGAGAAAACAAATTCAATGAGTCATTCACATTTTTCTTTTATCACAACTTTCAGGCAACTCGAACATTTATTGTATCTTATTTTGAAATTTTTGCTTAAAAAGTTGTTATTAAGTTAAAATTAGGAAAATTTCTTTAGCTCAAAAAATTGTATTTAGTAAAATCTTCAATTTATAGAATACAGCAGAGCAACATTTAATCCATAAGAGAATGAAGTTTGCAAAGCAAAAAATATGGTTTATT